GGGGGTTTTTTGGGGGGGGGGGGGGGGGGGGGGTTTTTTTTGGAAAGGGGTTTTTCCCCGGGGGGGGGGGGGGGGGGGGGCGGTAGCCCAGGGTATCGTTCCTCTTCTCGCCAAAGAGTCTTGCTTCCCTTTGGCTACAATACTTTTTGCTGAATGTACCCTTGATTCACCCTGAAAACGCGAATTCATTACCATCCCACGGGAGCAACGAAAACAGATCAACCGACGGCCTGCTGAGTTTCTGAATTCGCCGCGTACCCACGTGTGACGCGTGAGGGACGTCACTACTGTTTCCATTCGTTGGTGGTGTTGTTGTGTGCTTGCCGCTCTGCTGCGCTGTTTGGTGTATCTGCTGTTGATAACGTTGTGGGTTGATGTGGGGGTGAAGAAAGGAAAATAACTAGAAAGTACAGACGCCCGCTCCTTTTGCACATCGTGTACCAATCCTCCGACCCGACGCTGCTCTTATTGCTGTGCACACTACCCAAAATGACACACATATACGCAGACTGTTAGCGGGGTCGATGTTAATAATGATTGAAGAAAAAGTACGCGCAGACTACAGTATGCCACCAGACAGTCTTCCCTTGGACCAGACTATGTGTTGCTGCCCTTTACCTTCACGGGTCCATTCCCATCTCATGGGAACAACGATGACAGATCAACCGACGGCCTGCTGAGTACTGGGGCCGTGTGATGGAGGTGGCGCGCCTCAACAACCTCTCCCGCGTGCAGCGGTGCGGCCAAATCATGGGGAGGGCGGAGGCGGGCGAGATGAGCTCAGCGCAAATATTTTACCCTTGCATGCAGGTACTATTTAGTGCAACGTTTTTGTTTCCTGCTTGTGTAGAATATCTTGTTCGCAGTCGAAATCATTTTTTCGCACTCGCAAGTTCGTGCTACATGCTTCGGGGGTATCCTAACACATCGTGTCCAAGCGAGGTATTCACACAAGACTGATTGATCCTTGAATTGTGGGTGGGGGCGTTTTACCGATTTCATGCGTAGTGCTCGTTTGTAATTTCCGCCCGATGGTTGTTGTTTCTGTGCCACTAATACACAGCATGTGAGATATCTTTGGACACCTCTTGCGCGTTTGTGCTTGCTTGCTTAGTTCGGATGGCGGCAACGTTCGGCGTTTCTTTTTTTTTCTGCGGTGCCTCCCTAGTTGATATTTCGTCCCTAGTGGATCGTTCGGCGGTGCCTTGTGTCCTGAACGGAATCTGTCGATGTCGCCATGCTGTCGCTGATGCCAATGCTGTCGCTGACACTACGCTGTTTCTGATGCCGCAGTGCGCCGATGTCTTCTTCCTGAAGGCGGATATCTGCCAGCTAGGGTTGGACCAACGCAAGGTAAAGAGTCGGGGGGGGGGGGTGATGGTGTGATGGTGTGATCGAACGGGTGGGAAGGGAGGGGTCGACACCCTTTTGGTCTGAGCGTGGAGGCGGTCTAGACATGTCAGGGTGACACATACTTAGGTGCAGTCTGTTGTCGCGGGTACGATTGTTCGGGTCTCAGCCGAACCGTTCTTATGGCACCAACCCCAAGATATGTCTCCCCCCGCATTGGAGGAAACTGATGTCACTGATGTCCTCGAGGAGGAAAGAAGGATGGGGTCGCTTCCACCTTGATACCTGTTTTGCGTGGTGTAGCTACGGCGCAAAGCGCCCGCCGAACCTTGTTCCGTTTTCGTCGGTCATAGCCCTGCATACCTTGTCCGCCGCTGCTGTTAGGAATTTACCGCCCTACCATTTTTTGGCTTGCAGAGGTTTGCACCACCTTCCGTTTTTACTTTCGTAAGTCAAGAAAGCTAAATAACTAGTTTTAGACATTTCACTTTAGCTTGGTCTACAGCGACACCATGCACGGCGTTGTGCCGTGCCATATGGCTTGGTGTACCCTCCTGCTGCACACCTTTTTTTGGCCTCCTGCGACACGCCATTTTTTCGTTGCTGCCCAATCGCTCCGCACACCTTTTCTGTGTCCTGCCTCACGACGATCACCTACCTCCCTCTCTCTCTGTTTGTGTGTCTCTCCCTCTCTCTCTCCCCCTTTTCTCTTGTTCAGGTGAACATGCTCGCGAGAGAGTACTGCGACATGACCAAGCCCAAGATCAAGTTCAAGCCAGTCATCCTGTCCCACCACATGCTCGCCGGCCTGAAGGAGGGTCAGGCCAAGATGAGCAAGTCGGACCCCGGTGAGTTTTTTGTTGTTGTTGTTGTTTGAGCCAGAATGAGCAAGAGTGAGACCCCTGGACCATGTCTTCTTTTTTTTTTCGACAGGATGAGCAACTGCGGACCCAATCCCGGGGGGTGCAGTCTCTGTATTTTGCGTCCTATGCATACCTATGCTCTGTTGATTTTCTACGGTGGTAGTTGAGGATAAGGATAAGATTTGAGATGAGATACTGCTCACTACCTCCCTGGCGGCCACGCTTTCCCACTCTGTATCAAACCCGTGCAGTGCGCCTGAATGCCGGTGTGTCACCGCGCACTGGGCCTCGTCTGGATTTGTTTTTAGAGGGTGTGTTTTTTTTCTCCAGGCTTTGAGATGTTGTTAACCCTGATCGTCCAGGATGACCGCAACGGAGGGAAGTTCCCCTCTTGCCGACCTTCACGCCCCCTCCCTGACCCATCCACCCCTTTCCCGGCGGCGTACCCCCCCCCCCCACCCCCGTGCCTAATCTCCCGTCACAGATTCGGCTATCTTCATGGAGGACACTGCAGCGGACGTGAAGCGGAAGGTGCGAGAAGACCTGTATACTGCGTCTTCTCTTGTGATGTTGTTTGTGCCTTTCACAACTCCTCGGCCTTTGTACAAGGTAGAGGTGCAGTAGCACGCTCTGTTTCCTTGTGGTTTGAGCGGTTTGCGGTTAGCGTGAGGGGTTGCGGCGACGCCCTCGACGCGTTAAGCGTGTGTGTGCTGCGGTTAGCGTGTGCGTACGTGGGTAATGATCTCTGGTTGGTATCCACCTTGCCACTACAACGATAGCGGATATACGCCACATGTGTGTGTGAATGGTATGTGCGTGTGTGTGTACCTGAAGACAGCAGAAGAAAGGTGTCACAATTTTCGTAGTGTAGAACACGTTTTAAACCCGTTTTTGGGGTGAAGCTAGTTGTTTTTGTGTCCACGTGTGGTCTATTCTCGGTTGGCTCGTTGTGAACATCACGAACAATTTTCCAGAAGCGCATGTAGGTGAAGTTGTAGAGGCGTTTTTTGCTGTTTGTTGTAAAGGTAAAGGTGAGTTTCCGTGTGACTTCTCTCTCTTTTAACATCACTGCTTCCCGCCCGGCTCCTCCCGTCCCCCTGTTGCGGCAATTGTTTTTCATTCCGTGTTGTCAGCTCCCCCCTGCCTCCTCGTGTTAAATGTAGTTTCTGCAACATTTTGTCTCTTGTGTGCGTGTTTACCCTACATGGTGCCATTGCTGGATCTCCAACATCTCCCCCCTTCTGCCTTGCATTGCCTCGCATCCCGTGGTACCGCCCTCGTCGCAGATCAAGAAGGCTTACTGCCCCCCCGAGGTGGTGGAGGGTAACCCCGTCCTAGACTACTGCAAGCACCTGCTCTTCGCGTGGTCTGGCGAGGTGAAGACGTTTGTTTTTTTTCTCTTCCACTACATGCTGCTGCTTTGTTTTTGTGGCTCTTCTAGTCTGCTTGGACGCAGCGTTGGTTTGTAATTTGTTTCTGGGCTG